CGGTCAAGACAGGCTTGGTCGGACCGGAGCGTCGGCTCCGGCTTGCGACCAACTTGTCAGATATTCGCCGCTTCCGCCGTCCGACTGTCGGAGGGCCGCAGCCAATGGCGGCACGGATGGCGCGAACGTCACGCTGTCACGGGAAGAGAGGCTCGATCGGGAGAAGAGAATGTAAGAGGTTTGTCGCGCGAATGGTCGTCGTGAACTAAAGGCAACGTACGCCACGGAGTTTTCCCGCACGCACAAAATAAGCTGCTGACTTCGCTCGTCCATAGCAAACCGGCTTTCTTGGACCGATCGAGACCGTGGAGTCCCGAATACACTTCGTTTTATCTTACAATGGACAGCAGCGGACGCTTCGAGGCCATTCCAATGCCGTGGGAGTGTCACGTGAACTTCGGGAGAGACGCAGTAATCCGCTGTGTGAGTAGTCACGTGACTTGTACGCAGTGCTCGCTTCGTCGGCATGGCTCCTAAGGTCCGATGCTGTTCATCCTGGTTGATTGACTTTAAGCAAAAAAGTAACATCTCGTAAAGTCTTCGGACATGTACAGTTATTTGCAATCTAATGAAAACAATTTGTTTAAAATTCAGAGAAACCACAAAAGGCGAGGGGATGAATCATATTTTTGGTTTATAGTCTCGGTGGCGCAAGGTACCGCCCGTTATAAATATAGCCATTAGCTTCCAGCGATCCATACGGTAGAAAGACACCCGGAACTGGGTGGAGCCGAACGAAACGACGCGTCGGAGGAATGTGTCTCCAACTGTCGTGTGCGGGGAGCGGCCATTTTTCCGGTGGTTCGCACGTCGGATCGAATTGCTTTGTCGCGCATATGTCTCGCGCTTCTGGCCAACCCTCCGAGCGGCCGTGGCCAGTTTCGACAGACGCGATATCGTAATCCTTTGTTTCGGCACCAACCATAGCCTTCTCTAGGAGGCTATGCACTAACATTTCTGCGACATTTGGGAGCCGATAATTGCTGCTTCGCACTCGTTATCCTCATAATCCGATGGCTTTTCGAACTGCAAAATACTGCTCCGAATCGCTGCTTTGAAGGACCACACGACACGGAGGGACCACACCTACTCTGGAGGGTAAACCCGGTTGTCCGGGAGCTTCTCAGGAGTGCGTGACATGGCGTAGTGGCAGACGAACGTCGGTATGCTCCGACGCGCGTTTCCTTCGTCGACTTTGGTGTATAAACAGCAACTTACGCCGAAATCTCGACGCTCGCTGCTGCTGTCTGGACGCTCGTTCGCTTTTGCTGAATTTGACGTATCCGTGTAACCCATGAACTATTTACACGAAGTATATTAACGAGACAAGAATAAATCGTTGAGCATGAAATTTAAAATAAAGCTAAAACTTGCTTCTGGTAAAAAAAAGAAGTTTCTTTTATTACTTAGTATTACTCAATAGTCAGGCCCCTAAAGTTGCTGATTATTTAAAATATTTTGTAAGAAGGAACCACTAAAATTTATATAATATCAAAATTCTTCAAATCAAAATATCAACGTACTCTACGAATTTAATCTAGCAGCGTTGATGGTTGGTGATAATATTTTGTACCTTCCTGTGACATGGTTCTCTTATTTACAGGGTAAACGTGGCTTTGATGAACTCTGACGAATTTACACGCGCTTTCAACTGCAGAAGCAATCAAAAGATGAACCCCATACAAAAATGCGTGCTCTGGTAATAAACATGCTCATTAAAAATTGAAAAATAAAGTCATGAAAGAGCACAGCGGAGGGTTTAGCGTTTTATTTAAACATAACTACATTACCAATGATTATTCAGCATGTTCTAGCTCTCTGAAAGCAGTGGATATTTATTAAATGTTAAAAATTATTATAAGAATATTTCGACACAGTAGCATTTGTTTAGTTATTCTGATAATGGACCTCTACGTAGGAGCGTAAATACCCCATTAGTGCAAAGTGCGCTGCCCTCGGGAGACCCACAGGAGCCCAACTTGGGCAGCCCACATTGGACGCAGCTTGGGGCCTAAAGAAGATGTCGGCAGCTAACAAGGGTTTTCTTTATCGGGCGCATAGTGTTTTTTTATGCACAGCCCACATAAGGTACCCCTGTGAACTTCGTTCCGTTCTGGGTCATTTCATAATTTCCCTGCGATGCGGGGTATTGCAGCCCAAATTAGGCTGGTCTTACTTTCCCCGTCTGCTTATAAAAAAAGTGTCGTCATTTTGATATTTATATAAATCTGCATTCTTTGAGAATTTCATAAAACGTCTGAAACTAGAATATAAATAATTCGGCAGTCCCAGGCTACGAAGAGGAAGAAAAACAGTGCACATTTCCGTACAAGTCGTATTTAATATTAATCGGGACACATAGAAAGTTTGAGCCGGCTAAAAACACTCAGCTTTAAAACAGATGATGACGTTCCAACAAGCTTGTTTGCTATTCACCCACAAGGTTAATACCCAGAGTAAACAATTTCAACCCACGTAAAACGACCACCCATACATTCACAAAGAGTAGTAAGTTATTAATCATTAGGGATACCGCAAACATGCTGAAGTTCTAGGTATAAAAGGTTCGAAAATGTCAAAACTTGTTAACGTTAGATTCGAAAAGTACGCACGTTTCTAAAGCCGCTGATGTTCAAAATCAGAAAATTGGAAGTTGTCAATGTTTCTGTACAATTGAGTTCGAGGATTTTAAATTTCTTGACAAATCAACTTTGAAAAATTAATAAACTTCAAATTTACCTAAAATTCGATGTTTCAAAACTTTCAAGATTTCACTTTTTTTTTATGAATAAGCTTGAAAAGTTCGAAAGTTTCGAACATAGGTTTGAGGTATGGAATGACACGGCCGGAGATCGATTTTTGCAGTTTCGAATTAAGATTTCACAGATTCATCTAAAACAATCTCAAAATAGGCTAAAGGTCTTACTGAGAACGTGTCCTTTGTGTCCATTGGATTTTTGGTAAAAAATGTGTCCTTTGGTAAGACCTGGCGGTCTTGTAAATTCGTTCATTAAAATATATAGAGAAGGTGACGCCCGTTACGCTCCAGGCGTAACTTCTTCATTTCGTTTAAGGTTTTGTAGATTTCATAGGATCTCAGGCGTTTTTATATATTATTAAATCCTGTTAAAGCATTTGTGCGTTCATAATTATATCACGTGCATACTGTTCAATTAACAGCAAAGTCAATACATCCACAAGCAAAGAACATGCTATTATTTTCCCTGACACAACAAATAGAGTATTCCACCAAAAATAGATGGAACAACTGTCTGGTATAAGTAGACACCATGATTTGTACGGAACTATAACCTTGGTAGACACAAAATTCGAAAAAGAAGGTAATTAACAATATTATATCTGATCTTGTCAAAAAAAGAGGAAACGAAAAAAGCAAGTAATAGAATTCATCAACTAATGGTATAGCTTGCGAAGCCTCGTGAAAATAGCTGTCGTGCCTGGAATAAAACACAGGACATTCAAGAAGGTCAGTAATAATTATTGTAAGCTACCGAACCTTATACGTTTCTTGTTTGAAAGACGATAATGTTTTAGTTTCTTGACTTTAATCAACATTTTGCTTATGTGTTTCAACATAGGAAGTGATCAGAAACACGGTAAGCAAGATCACCTAAAATAATATATGACCTAAAAGGATATGAAGTAGTAGATATCCTAAGTGCAATTTTTATTAATTACTAGTTGAAAGAGTGACAATTTGTACCCTAAAATAATGCCTAGATTTAATTAAAAAGGTGGCTGGAAGTATTGATGGCATAAATACGCTATGGTGTCTCACAAATTAGTAAAATAGAGTTTGCCACACTCTTAATTTCCAAGCAAACTGTTTGGAACAAAGACAAGATCTTCATCTTTGATAAGACTTTTAATGGCAATAATGACAACCACTTCCATTGTTGTGTGGCTATTCAGAGTTAACAAAATCATATAACTGTGGAAAATGTATTGAAAAACATATGTAATTTCAGGTAATAAATATGACGACTAATTTTAGAACATGTTATTTAACTTTAAAAAGTTGTACCACTTCATTTATTCATTTTCATTGATATTCTTATTCAAATAAATATGACGACTAATTTTAGAACATGTTATTTAACTTTAAAAAGTTGTACCACTTCATTTATTCATTCAATTAATGTTAAGCTCTTTATTGTTTTATTATTTTTTATTATACCTGACAATATTTAGCACATGTTGAAGCATAACTATAGATTTTTTTTTGTATTTAGTGGTAAAAGATTGCTTTCTTTATAGTCAATAACTATGACGATAGCTTTCTGAACAAAGTTCATGACGTAATCAGTACAGTGACTTTGCGATCTCCCACACAAAACTTCATCCTTCTGAGTGATTTTAACTGTCAAAATATTGTGTTGTCGGCGGAAACAGCTTACGCAAGCCCCTTTTTGTCTGACAGTGACAAATTCCTCAAATTATGTTCGGACTACAACCAGAATTACGTCCTCCCGTGCCTCAGTGTTAGGTCTTGTATTGTCAACCTTCGCCGACCTTGTTTTCTCTATTACCTATCTACCCGGTTTTAGTGACCTTTTATTGCTGCCTTTTACCTTAAATATTACCACAAGCCATTCCCCGAAAATAGTTAAACAGATTCGTGATTACGGAAAAGCTAATTCTATTATTTTTATTTTTTTAGTTACTTTGTGAAAATTTCTTCGAACGCTCTGTAAATGAAAATTGGTGTCTGTTTCCAAACAAAGTTAACTATCTAATAAGCACATATATTCCTGTTGGCACATTATCATCCAAAAGTAATTCCCCTTAGTATAACACCAGACTTAAGCGACTTTCCAATAAAAAGAACCGCCTCTTTCGTGCAGCCAAACTTTCAAAACAAGAGAGTCATCTTAACGCCTATCATTGCGCCGAACAGTTATATAAACGTGCAGTATTTGCTGTAAAACGCAACTTTTTTACTAACGTGTTGCCCACAATTTTATCTAGGGGCGCTGCGAGCGGTGGTCGGAGGCGGACGTGTGTCGCGTCGGCTCCGCGTTACTGTGCTCATTTGTGCGGTGTTTCTGGCTCTATTTTCTTGAAAGTGGTGTCAAAGTGTCCGGCTCGTCGAGAGGAACTCATCGATATCGGTGGTGAGTCATTCCATCGATTTATTGGGACTTTACGGACTTGGAAAGGTGGTGACGGCGAGGCGGGGGCAGTTAGGCCTAACCGAGTACGGGAAGGTAGGCCTAACACCGGCGTGGTGGCGACGGAGGTGCAAGGGGACGGCATGGAGGCTGATGTCGGCCGGAATGCTGGGAATATGGTCGTGGAATTGCCCGGAGAAGAATTGGATCCGGAGGATTGTGCGGGTTGGATGAAAGTGCGTACGAATGGAAGATCGGACGGCTCTGCGGAGGCTAGACCTAATTCCCATGTGGCCAGGCGGGTGATAGAGAGAATAGAGAGGGGAGCCAAGATGCCGAGGGTATTGCCCCGGGAGGCCATTAAGGTGATCATGAGGCCAAGAGGAGGTCTGGATCTGTCCAGGGTGTCTATCGTGAAAGTGATGTGTGCGATTGGCAAGGCGGCGCGTGTGGAGATGGAGGATATGGGCAAGGATACGTTATGCCCGAATGTTCAACAGAACATTGTGGTGGTGTGCACTGAGGATGAACAGCGGGCGAGGAGATATGCGAACGTGGAGGTGTTGGTGGTGGAAGGGAAGAGCTTCGAGACGAAGGCGTACGTGGCGGCTCCGTATGGGACGACGAAGGGAGTCATCAGAGGTGTGCCGTTGGAGCATTCGGCGGAGGACATTGACAGGAACGTGGTGGGCCCGAGGAATCCGACTGCGAGGGCGACACAGCGCATTGGATCGTCGGCTACGGTCATTGTGGTCTTTGAAGGTGAAGTGGTGCCAAGACAAGTGTATTATGGTGGAGGAGTTTTGAGATGTTCTTTGTATAGGAAGCATTTTGAGGTCTGTTTTGTGTGTGGGAGGGTAGGACATCGCTCGGATGTCTGCCCTACCCCGGAGATGAAGCGGTGTATGGGGTGTGGGGTTAGTGGGCAACAGGAGCACGAGTGCACCCCTAGGTGCAAGCTATGTGGGGGACAACACGTGACCGGGGATAGGGTGTGTAGGAATAGGTTCCGCACACCGTATATTGTACGGAAAAGGTTGTGGGAACGTAAAGAGTTGGATCATGAGTCGAGAGGGGGCTCCCTTTCCGGTGCAGGGGCTCTGAGGGGAGAAGATTTTCCGGACTTGGGAGGGTCCAGGTCGGTTTCGAGGGAAAGGGGGGATAGTAGGTCGAGGAGTAGGAGCAGAGGGGAGGAAAGACAGGTGTCATGGGCACAGGTGGTGAAGTCGGATGATGAGGAGATGGAAAAGCTCAGGGAGGATAATAGGCGGCAGGCCGGGGAGATCATGGAGCTGAGGAAGGAGAACAAAGGGCTGATGGAGAAGGTTGAGGAGCTCACCGGGGTTATTAAGCAATTGGCGGCTAAGGTGGAGAAGATTGCGGCGGAGGGGGAGCCTTCTCATCTGGGGGCGCCACCGGCTAAGAGAAAGAGTGCGGGGGGTGGAGGTGGTAGTGATGTGTCGGGAATGGAGAAGCAGATAATAGATTTGAATGAGAGGGTGGTGCGGCAGGAGGGAGGGTTGAGGAAGGTGAATGAGAAGTTGGATGAGGTGGCAAGGGTTGTCATGGGGATTGAGTCGTTCTTAACACAATGGAAGAAGTAGTTAAGGTTTGGGTTTGGAATTGCAATGGATACAAGGGCAGGAAGGCGGTGCTTCAGCAATATGTGCAGGCGGCAGAGGAGAAGCCGGATGTCATTATGTTACAGGAGGTGGGGCCGAATGATGTGGGGCTTTCGGGATACGTGGCCTATGGGGTGAAGGTAGTGTCAAAGGGGGGTAGGAGTGGTGTTTGTACGTTGGTTAGACGGGGGTTGCCGGTGGTGGAAGGGAAGTTGGAGGGGGAGAAGAATGTGGAGTTTCTGGCCTTGGAGGTGGTGTTTGGCAAGAGTGGTGTTTGTTTGTGTAATGTGTACAACAGCCCAAAGTATGGGAGGCAGAGGTTTGGGAAACTTTTCAGGGAATGTGTGAGATGGGCTGGGGATGGGGGCCTGGTGGTGGCTGGGGATTTCAATGCGAGACATGAGGAGTTTGGGTATGTGGACAACACGGCTAAGGGGAGGAATTTGTTGAGGGACTCAGAGGATGTAGGCTTGATTTTGGTGTCGGATTCTCGGCATCCCACGTTGATGGCTAAGACGGCGGTGCAGAGAGAGACGATGCCGGATTTGGCTTTTGTTAGGGGGGTAGATGTGGAGTGGAGAAATACGGGCATGGATTTGGGCAGTGATCACAGGGTAGTAGAGGTTTTGGTACATTTGGGGGGCAGAAGAAAGGGGAAGAGGAGGCACAAGGTGGTGGATTGGGGCGCCTTTAGGAGGGGTGGTGATATGGGGGGGGGGGGGGGGTTGTCGATGTGAAGGAGTGGTCTGAGGCAGTTGTAAAAGCGGCGAGGGAAGCGAGTAGTGAGGTGGAGGTGGATGCAGAGTTGGAGGGGGAATTGAATAGCAGGTTGGTAGGTTTGATGGAGGCGAAGGAGGCGTTGTATCGCAGGTGGAGGGAACATAGGGGTAATAGGAGGTTGCGGAAGAGGGTAGCGGAGATGAATAGAGAAATTGCAAGGTACAGTGAAGAACTGGCGAGGCAGCAGTGGGACGATGTGTGCGTAAGGGCGGGAGGTAGGTTGCAGATGGGGGAAACATGGAGGTTGTTAAGGCATTTATTGGATGGGACGCGGACTCGTAGTTATCAAAGGGGAAGGTTAGGTGAGGCTCTGTATGGAGCTAGGAAGGAATTGGGGGAGGAGGGGTTTAGGAGGGCTCTGATGGACAAGTACCTTCCTAGGGTGGGGGGAGTGAATTTTCCGGGCTATAAGGGGGAGGTGAATGAGGATCTGGATAGGGCTGTGGAGACGTGGGAAGTGAGGGCGGCGTTGCAGAGGGTGAAAACGAGGTCTGCGTCAGGGCCGGATGGGGTTAGTAACAATATGCTGCGTAACTTGGGGGAAGAAGCTGTTGAGGTGCTCACGGGGCTGTTTAATAGGTGTTGGGAGAGCGGGGAGGTGCCTGAAGAATGGAAAACGGCTAGGATGGTGTTGTTGGCTAAGCCGAATAAACCGGTGGGGGTGCAGAATTTTAGACCGATTTCGCTTACGTCGTGTGTTGGTAAGGTTTTGGAGCACGTGGTATTGCGAAGGTGGAATAATTTTCTGGAAGGGAGGGGGGTGTTTAGTGATACTATGTTCGGATTTAGGGAGGGGTTGTGTGCACAGGATGCAATGTTGTTACTTAAGCATGAGGTTGTGCAGTCGAGGAAAGTGGGGGTTGTGTTGGGATTGGATCTCAAGAGTGCCTTTGATAGGGTGCAGCATTCGGCCATATTAGAAAGAATGTCGGAGTTGGGGTTGGGGAAGAGGAGCTATGAGTATGTGAGGAGCTTCTTGACTGGGAGGAGCGCGGAATTGGTTGCTGGGGAGTACGAGGTTGGGAAGAGGGGGTTGGGATGTATAGGTACGCCGCAAGGCGCGGTTATCTCGCCGATGTTGTTTAATTTGGTCATGGCAAAGGTGGGGAAGAGGTTAACGAGAGAAGGGATCGGTCACTCCATTTATGCGGATGACTTGACGTTGTGGTGTGTTGGTAAGGGCGTGGAGGAGACTAGAGATACGTTGCAACGAGGGATTGATGCTATTGAGGAAGAGTTGGCGGATACAGGGTTGGAGTGCAATCATGAGAAGTCGGCGTATGTTGTGGTGGGGCCGAGGAGTAGGAGATGGCAGGATGTGGAGTTGAGGGCGAATGGGGGAATGATACCTAGAGTTAAGGAGCTGAGAGTGTTGGGACTGTGGTTACAGGAGGCTAGGGGTAATGGCGTGATGTTGGGTAAGTTGCAAAGGAAGGTCGGGGCAGCGATGCAGATGGTTAGGAGGGTGGCTAGTAGGAGGAGGGGTATGAAGGAGGAGAGTGTTTTGAGGCTGGTGCAGGCTTTTGGGATGAGCCACATCGCGTATGTGGCTGGGTATCTGAAGTGGGGGGTGACGGAGAAAGGGAAGATTAATGCTCTGATACGTAGGATATATAAGGCGGCGATTGGGTTGCTGGCATGTACTAGCACGGAGATGATGGAGCGATTGGGTGTGCATAATACATTGGAAGAGGTGATAGAAGCGCAGAGGATCTCGCAGACGGAGAGGTTGAGGGGGTCTGCGGTGGGGCGTAGGGTGTTGAGCAGGGTGGGGGTGGGTGCTGAGGCTGGCAGGGGGGGATTGGAAAGGATTAAGGATGAGGACATGAGGAGGTTGAGGGTTAGGCCGGTGCCGAGGCACATGCACCCGGAACGGGATAAGGGGCGTAGGCAGGCAAGGGCGCAGGCGCTGTATAGGCTGTATGGGAAGGAGGAGGGTAGTGTTTATGTGGACGGAGCTTTTGATGGGGACCGGGGGGTGGCTGTGGTTGTGGCGGCTAAAGATGGTAGGGTGGTTACAGCGTCGGGATTGAGATGTGACAGTGCGGAAGAAGTTGAGGAGGTGGCGGTTGCAATGGCAATTTCTATCGAGGGTGTAAGGAAGGTATTTAGTGATGCAATGGGGGTTGTCAGGCGCTTCATGAATGGAACGGTGAGTGAGAGGGCTAAGAGGTTGATCAGTGTGAAGGGACAAGTGGAACTAATATGGAGCCCTGCACATGAGGTGGGGAATGATATGGCCGACTGCTGCGCCCGAGGACTCTTAGGCCGGGCTTCGCAGGAGGGGTCGTATGTGCCGGTGGGTTATGGAGAGTATCTTGAATGTTGCAGACGGGATAGGAGGAGGTTCCCGGAACCTCACAAGGATTTGTGTCGGGAGGATGCGGTGCTTTTTAGGCAGTTGCAGGTGATGTGTGTGTATACCCCGGTGTTGGGGAGACATGTGGACCCAGGGAATTTTGAGAGTGACTTGTGCAGGGTATGTAAGGACAGTCGGGCAACGCTGCAGCATATTGTGTGGGACTGTGAACAACGGGGGCACGAGGCATCGGGGACCCAGGACTGGCCGGAGGACTTCGAGGATGGTGTGATGTGTGTGGACTTGGAGGGACAAAGGGGTTTCGTCCAGCGAACCCGGCGCTTGCTTCACCGGCAGACTGTGCGTAGGTGTGTTGGTGAAGGGGTGACGGAGGGGTAGGGGTTTTCGCAGGACCAATAAAGAGGTTTTCCACCACCACCACAATTTTATCTAAAAATTTTCGCCACTTTTGGAACTTAATCAAACCTATTGATAACCACTGTGGTCTGAAGCTTACAAACGCAGATGCGGAACGAGTAGGTCAAGATGAGTGTGCATCATTGCTAAACGATATATTTATACAATATTTTTCTTCCACCGATGTTTCTGTGTACCCCAACTTTAATGGCCCTGACTTTTGACCAATCTATCCAATATTAATATCATATGATGCTATAGCTGCAATAATTAACAACCTCAAGCTCTCCTCTTCATCCGGTATTGACAATATAAACTCTAAATTCTTAAACAACACGAAGTCGTATTCATCAGCTACACTATCAATGATTATTAAGCAATTATTGGACGAAGACAAAGCTACGCATCGGACGTGTGTTCTAGTCTCCTCTATTTTCATTGAATATTTTGCTTACGTCGACTTTATATCAGCAAGTAGCTTCACAACGTCATCGGGAGGTCCGTATAGTCCCCTCCAGAGCCTTCTCACCCTTCGATCCGGTTTTTAAACCGGCGAGGTATGGACACCACGACCGCCCCTCCAGCTGCCATGGATGAAACACTCGACCCGACCGCGCAGGATGACGCCGAGCCTGTCCGACTCGCTGATTGAAGACACTGAAGGTCCCTTCCAGGAAGCGACATGCAGAAAGAAGAGACGCTGCAGCAGCCACAACTCTGGCTCCAGCGACGCGTCCATCGTCACCCTCCCAGAGCCGACAGTTGGTCTGGTGGTTCTGTTCACGCCACTGAATCCAGACGTGAGCATCGACTCCATTGATTCGGTCCGCGTCTCTAATACCCTGGAGACGCTGGTGCCCTCATGCGTCATTGAGGCTCGGATCAACAGGCGAAAAAATCTTCTCGCGGTTGACACCCGGAATGGCCAGACAACGCGGGTGCTTCTAGGCTTGACCACGCTTTGCGGCATGAAAGTTCGAGCCTTTGAGCCCCGTGGAAAAGTTTCCAGTGTAGGCATCGTGCGCAACGTTGACATCGCTCTCTCAGACACTGAGATCGTCGGAGCGCTACGGTCAAGTGTAAGCATCCGTTGTGTTCGTCGGCTTGGAAAATCAAGCACAGTTCGCATTGAGTTTGCATCTGCCACACTTCCCCAACACATCTCCGTTGGCTTGGTCCGGCATGAAGTCGACCTGTACGTTAACAACCCTCTGCAATGCCACCGATGCGGGCTCTTCGATCACGTTGCGGCTGGCTACAAGAGGAAGTTGGCTTGCCTCCGCTGTGCGCAGCCCCAAGCAACTGCGCAGTGTGACGCCTCTGACCGCCACTGCGTAAACTGCAACAAGTCGCATGAAGCAACATCTCACATATGCCCGTTCTGGCAAGCCGAGCGCACCGTGTGCCGCTATCGCTGCGAGAACAACGTGCAGTTTGCGCAAGCACGAGCAGCATTTGACAAGCCTACTGATGCCCAGGCTGTGCCGGAAGCACAAGCTGCACCAGAAGTCGTCGGCTCTTCCCCGGAACACCCACAAAGGCGAAGACATTCGCGACGACGCCAGGTGCAACAAAACTGCGCTGATAAATCGACCTCTTCACCTCTCCCCGAGACATCACGTGCAGTAAACATCGATCCAGG